CCGGTCAAACTGGCAGGACAGCTCTTCACCATGCGGCGAGCACGGGAAACATACCGATCGCATGTGTCCTTCTCGCCAAGGAGGATCTAGATCCCAACGTTCGCGACGACCAGGGATGGCCCCCCTGACCTACGCCGCTTTCAATGGTAATTTACGCATGGTGGAACTCTTCCTTGCAAGGGAAGACATACAAGTGAACGTGCAACAGGCCCCTCCACTGTTCCATGCCGCCAAAAAGGGTCATGTGGAAGTTGTACGCCGATTACTTCAATTTGATACCATCGACGTCAATCAGCAATTTTGGAACAGCTCGCCTCTCTGTGTTGCCTCCGAGATGGGCCACCCGGAAGTTATAAGGTTACTCCTTGAACACACAACACCCCCCGACATCAATCTCAAAACTTATATGGGAGACACTGCACTTTCGTTGGCCGCTTACGATGGTAATTTGGCTATTATAAATCTTTTGCTGGAAAGAAATGGGCTGGATGTTACCGCTACTGACAAATTCGGGGACACGGCGTTATGCAAAGCAGCTCGGAATGGACACGAACAGGTTGTCAAGCGTCTCTACAGGGATACTCGTGCAAAATGCGCTAGTGATGTGAAAAGGGCCATTGAAGCAGCTTCCAACTGTAGAATTGCGCTCTACCTTGAAGGTCATTTGGATGAGGAGGGCAACTTTCGCACCTGGCCTTGAACTAAAGGTAGGCTGTGATTACCTTATTGGATTCATCTTTCAGCATCTGGGCTCCAACAAATCATGTAATTCCCGAGCATGTGCGGTCCCCGAAATTTATTTTTCAGGCAACAAGCGCATCTTTGCCATGACTAGCGATAGCGTATTTCTATTACAGTTTTAATTTTTTAAGTATTCTCAATTTCAACAGCCCTCCTGCAAGGGGTACATGAATAGTACTTAAGAATTATATCGGAGGTGACTGAGCGCGGTGACGCCAATCACGACATGTAAAAACGAATCAAAGAACGTTTCGTTTCTGCCCAGGGGCCATCAGGAACCATGTCATGAGGAAACTTTCCATCATCAGCTATGGCATATCGATCAGCCCCGGCCTTCAACAACTCCCCCGCTGCTTCCCACGTCTCTTCTTTGGCGACAATTCGATGCAATGGCGTGAATCCAAGCATATCCCGAGAGTTCACATCAGCCCCGTATTGAATGAGAAGTTTGACAATCTTGTGGACATTCCGTGCTTCGGCAGCATAATGCAGAGGGGATTTGCCATATTTGTCTCTCGCATTAGCACAGCTTCCATGTTCGAGCAGAATCTTTGTTGACTCAATAGATCCCATGCGCACAGCAAGGGAAAGAGGCGTCAGCCCATTGTTGTTTTGAAATTGAACATCAGCTCCAAGCAACAGAAGCGTCCGAACACATTCCATGCCTTGTCGGTTAAAAGCGTTCCGGATAGCGTAGAAAATTGGGGTTTCAATATGTGTACCCCCGACCCAATTTACATCAGCGCCGTTTTCAACAAGCCAGCCCACCATACTGGGACACCAGCTCGATGAGGAAGCAGCCACATGGAGGACCGTTTCTCCATTGGCGTCTGTAGCCATAATACTGGCACCACATTCGACAAGAGCTTGCGCCTGTTTTATGGCGCTCTTAGAGATTGCATGGAGTAGAGGCGTCTTCTGAGCGTGATTTCTAGCATCGAGCTCAGCCCCATGTAGAAATAACGCTCGAATGATGCTTTTTCTGCCATTCCCTGGAATGCTTGGATTTCTTGCAGCGTAGAAAAGTGCGCTCCACCCTTTCCAGTACTGATTATTGTTTTTGAAGTTTGGATTGGCGCCAAGCTTTAATAGCAGGCGCACAGCGCGGGTGCATGAATGGTCAACTGCTACTTGAAGTGGCGTTCTGCCCATGTTGTCTTGAGACTCCAATTGAACACCGGAGCCGATGAGGATGTTGATAATTCCGGGGGTAGCGTTCTTGGAAGCCGCGAGGTGCACGAGGCTCATCCCAGTTCGGCGGTCCAAGATATGTGTATCAGCCCCATGCTTCAAAAGCAATGCCACTTTGGACTCCTGGTTTGAACGGACAGCCTCCCTTAATGGAGCATGTTTGTCAAACGCAACGGAATTGGCTATGGCGCCGTGATCTAGGAGCAACTTGGTGATCGCCACGTCGCTACGACCATTTGTCGCCAAAACCAAGGGTCGTCTAGATTGGGCATCGGCCACATCTGGCAAAGCCCCATTCTCTAGAAGGGCTTGTACAACATTGGTATGCTTGGTAGAAACCGCTTCCAGAAGAGCTGTCGACTGTGCGCGAGTTGGTGATCGGATGTTAACATCCGCACCCGCACGAAGCATATTCCGGACTCCAAGTTCGTCCCCACGACTTGCGTACCATAAAAGGGCCGATCCACCGTCCAAGCGTATATTATGTTGGTAGAGCTCATTGATCAAGAGATGGTAGAGCTTTTGACTCGTTCGGAGGAAGCCGAGAAGGTCTTTTGGCGAATCCAAATTGCTTGAAATGAGCAAAATAATTTCCGGTGGGAGAGAGAGAAGAGACATCGCGAGATGCTTGGATAGATGGCTGACCTGTCACTCAATAGAATGAATGAAGGGATTTCTCCAATTTGCTTGGGCTAAACGGACCAAAAGCTGTTGGTCGTTATGTATCAGGCGATAGACAACCTGAAGCAGAACAAAAATCAGACAAGAATTTAGTCTATGCATGATATATATGGAGCAAGAGCAACTAGGTCGCAGCATCTGGTCGAACTAGGTGGTGTTGAAGTGTTGAGGTGTTGAGGTGTTGAAAAGGTGGCCATAATAATCATTATCCAAATTGAACGCTTCTAGTAACCCTTTCCATCAAAGTCAAGATTCGATGTTCTATGACACCTTAGTGTTATGAAGCCCGTTAGCATCTTGCTTTCTTATACAATGCCGAGATACATTCGAATTTTTCTGGGAGTATTTACAGGCAAAAGTGACAGCTTTTCCGAATAGCGAGGCTGCCCGAAGACAAAGAATAACGATTTTTTAAACCAATATAATGACCTTTGATGTGAGTAACTGCTGGGCTTCTTAGGTGACGGCGTTGGACTGTTAATAAGGTCAACGTTGATCAGAGGCAGATTTGGGCTGTGTGTCAGAAATATGGTGGATCTGCGTGTGGATTTCTGGGTATTTACCCAGAATATCTTACGACATCAGATCAGACACATCACATAAAAGTGCATATTACTCTTTGTCAGCATATCCTACAAAATTGTCAAGTTCATAGTTTTTAGTTAGAGAGAGAGTTTAATATTACCGTTAGGAAACCCATACAATGTTGGTCACTAATTTCTGTTAGTTATGAGCCCGGAATCGCTTCTAATTTAACCCATTTTGTTAAACCAACCTTTGTTTCGACGTTGCAAGCCAATTGATTCTTGTGATCCCTGCCTGCCGCCGAACCCCTGAACCCCTGAAATCATCAATCGGAAATCGGTCAACCACAATATGGGAGACACCACTCTCTCCGTGATATCGTCCTCTCGCGTTATTCTGAGAGACTCAACAAACTGGGAAGCCTGGCTGTCCACCATCAGAGGGATTGCCGAGCAATATAACGTGTGGGAGTTGTGTGACCCGGACAAGAAAGATCAACCTGTTGTTCCAGATGAACCAGAGCCTCCATCAATTGAGGCTGCTAAGAACGACGATCCGGTCAACTGGTACAAGATCGTCAAACTACAACAAGTGGAATGGTCAACCCAAGTTAGCAAGCATGGAAAGAGGATCCTAGGCCTCAACTGTGTGGCAACGGCTATTAAAAACAGCCTACACCCTAGTTATCAGACCTTTATCACCCATGATACCCCATGGAAACTGCTTCGCAACCTGCGACAGAGATTTGCACCTGAGTGCGATCCTACCTATGCAGCCAAACTGCGTCAGCAATGGAGAAATTTAGACTGAGGTCTAGACAGAAACACCGACATTGAGAAATGGTTATTGAATTGGGAAACGATCCAGGTTCGGTGCGCGAGGGCTGGCATGAGCGAAGCCAATGACGCCACCGTGCAATTCCTAGATGCCATCTCAACTATGTCGCCTGGCTTTCATGAAACCTGGACGCTCAGATTGGAAGACAAGAATGTTGAATTCCCCGAGCTGCTCACTAGGTACAAAGCCCATTGGGCAATCAGCCACGGCAAAGCCAGTACCCAGAGAGGTATCTCCAAAGCTGTATTTTCGACCTGGCAAGGCCATGAGGAAGCACAACCAACAAACGTCAAGAAATGGGCGGCTATACCAGCCACCGAAAAGCCATTTTGGCAAAGGCCATGCCCATGCGGATCGAAGGCCCGCCACCCTGCCTGGAAGTGCTGGGCTGCCTATGAATCAGGCAGACCGGAGGGTTACAAGATCATCCCAGACCAGAAACAAAAGTGGGATAGAGCTATGATGGCTGATCCTACATGGAAAGACTTTATTGCGAAGAAAAGATCAGAAATGGGCATGACGCAGAAACAGGCGCACTCTACCATAATTGACGACCAAGCATGTGGCTTCTTCTCAAAGGTACCTCCCCAGGAAGTCGCACAGAAAGCCGAGCAAGCCGCCATGTCAACCCAAACCAAGCAAGCGACCATACCTATGGAGAAGCAATGGGTTGTTGACACCGGGGCGGATACACATGTATGCAACGATCGGAGCAAATTCGTTAGTTTCCGAGAAAGTCATGGCAACATCAAGGTCGGCGATACGCGCACAAGAATCGATGGTGTTGGCACCGTCGTTATCTATGGGATCAATCCAACTACTGGCCAACCAAAACGACTAGAGTTGTATGAAACCAGGTACTCACCTAATTTCCATACCAATCTGATCTCTCATGGCTTGATCATCAAGGGGGGGCCTTTATGTGCTTCCGAAACAACTGGATTGAAACTGATAATGGCAAGCCGCTGCTAAAGATATACCAAGAACAGAAGCTTTCTTGGTTGACGCAGCCCGACGCCGCCACCATGGCATTGATCGAGGCCCAAGCACCGCCCGGAGAAATGGTTTTTACCACTAAAAGATCGGCGCAAGAACCTAAATCAGCTGCATCAATGGAGACCTGGCACCGGCGCCTAGGTCACATAGGACCAGACCGCATTACCAAACTGTCGGAGATGACCGAGGGAGTCACCATTACTGAGAGCAACCCTGTCAAACAGGTATGTGAAGCTTGTCAGTTAGCAGACGCACCGAAGCAGATCTCTCGGCGGAAGATCGGTCAGGCATATGGTGTATTCGGCAGAGTGCACTTTGACCTTGTTCAAAATCAGCCTGCGCACAATGGTCATATCTGGTTAACCCACTTTTACCTGGATGGAATCAAATGCCACTTCGTGTTCACCCATACCAAGAAGAACGAATGTCAGATGGCTGTTAGGAAGTTTATTGCCATCGCAAAGAATTGGTTAAACATCAATATCAAGGTGTTTCACTATGATAATGAGCGAAGTGCGGGAGATGAGGTCGAGATGATGATCGAAAATGAAGGTTGTATAATTGAGCATGCACCACCTGGCCTACCCGAGATGAATGGTCCCGCGGAGAGATCTGGGGGGTCATAGTGAGAACCGCCAGAGCCTTGATGAACGACACAGATCTCCCCCGAACCCTATGGCCAGAAGCGATCTATGCCGCAGCATACATGCTGAATCGGGTGCCCACCAAGATCGAAAATCGGTGGATTGTACCATGGAAAGAACTCATGAGGCATACCGCACCCGACGGCGTGCGCGATCAGATCGTCAACCTGTCAAACCTGAGATTGTATGGCTGTTTAGCGTACTCTAGGATCATCAAAAGGGTTCAATCTGACAAGATGGCACCGAGAGCAGAGATCGGATTTCTTGTTGGATATGTTTCTAAGAACCTATACAAGATCTGGTTCCCGCACAAAGGCCGTGCTGGCAAAGGCCGGGTTGACATAGTCAGAGATGCTATTTTTGATGAGACCCGCCGATACTCTCCGAGTACACCGGTACCTGAGCATGAAGAAGCAGTCAGCACATTGACAGATGGCCTCGATAACTGGCCTGAGGTGCTCACATTGCAAGAAGCCGAAACAGAGATCAGTATAGAGCTAAGAATGCCAATGGTATTGGCAAGGAACTCGGCGGGAGAAGAAGCAGAGCATACCAAACAAGGAGAGGAAGCTGGAAAACCCACGTTACCACTATCTCCCAAAACAGCCTCTATTTTACCCGGGACGCCTGAATCAATCAGACCAAACCAGATCTCATGGTCGAATACCAACATACCAGGAAGCTTTCCCACCGAACCAAGGCCTCCGAGGATCTCTTCATCAACAATAACCTCACTATCGCAAGATCCATTAATCCAGAGATCAACACCATCGAGATCTCGACTCCCGAATACCCTGTCATCGTCACCAGATCCGATCTCGGTCATACCATCGATCGAAACTGAAGGGGAGGAGACAGTATCAGAAAGCGAGATGCAACTTCAGCAAGAATTAGCACAGTCACCGCAACCTACGCATCCAACTGCCATACAAACTGCGCCTAGACCAGGATATGAGATAGCACCCGCCCGTGCACCTAGAGACATCTCAAGAAACATTGATCAATCCAACATCATTACCAGCGGCAGCAGATCTCGCAGGCCAAGAACCAACCGAGATTTCTCAGCATACCTATCTCTTCACGATGAAGATCCTGCCGACAACCCGCCTGAATTGCTTCATGCGTTCACCATCAGTATGCATGAACAAGCATCCCATACCAAGAAACACCATCGAAATCAGATGCCAATAGAGCCCCAGAACTGGGCTGAGATGAAGAACCATAAATTTGCCAAAGAATTCACCGAGGCCGCAGCCTTTGAGATCGAGACTCTACGAAACAAAGGCACATTCCGCGAGGTGTCGCACCCGAACACCAAAGGGACACAGGTCCTTCCACTCAAGTGGGTGTTCACATATAAATATGATGCCGACGGAGTCCTGGAGAAGTTCAAAGCGAGGATCTGTGTGCGTGGAGATCTACAGTGGATCACTACTGAAGAAAAGAGAGCCGCAACTCTCGCAGTGAAAACAGCCCGCGCTGTATTTGCACTGGTCGCAGCATTTGACCTCGACATGATACAACGAGATGTAGTGACAGCGTTCCTCAACTCAGCCATTCAAGGTGAGGTATACACCAAGTGCCCGCCTGGTTTCGAACGCTCAGGCCACTGCTGGCTGTTACTCCGAGCGCTTTATGGCTTACGTATGTCACCGCGTTTGTGGCAGCAGGAAGCAACCAGAGTGCTGGTCAAATTGGGACTGACCCCCGTGCCTGAGGATCCATGCATTTTCACCACCCAAGGAATAATCGTTTTCTTCTATGTTGACGACATTATCATGGTCAATCATCCTTCCTATTCTAAGCAAGCAGCTACCCTGGACCAAGAAATGAAGAAGCAATGGGAATTGCGAGAACTTGATGCCAGTTGGTTCCTAAACATCCGCATATTGAGAGACAGATCTCAGAAGAAGCTATGGCTATGCCAAGATAGCTATATTGAGAGCATGACAAGTCGGTATAACCTCAAAACCAACCGTAGGGTCGAAACCCCTATGAGCACTGAGCCTTTGCTCCCATATGATGGAGTAGCAACACCGAGTCAGATCCATGGGTACCAAGCCAAAGTTGGATCTGCTCAGTATGCTACAACCGTCTCACGCCCAGACGCCGCCAAAGCCACCGCCAAAGCCGCTGAATTTCTTATGAATCCAGGTCCTAAGCACATCGACGCTATTGATCGGATCATCCAATACCTATACAAAACCAGGTTTTGGGCCATTGAATATGGAGTGAGAGGCCTCGAACCAGGTATCGAATTAGCAGCAAAATCGGTTGAATTTGCCAGCGATGCTTCTTTCGGCGATAACCCCGACCGGCGCAGCTCCGAAGGATATGTCTGCAAGTTATATGGTGGGCCCATAGATTGGAAGGCATCGAAACAGAAGACCGTTACAACATCGACAACCGAAGCAGAGCTACTCGCACTTGCTGAGGCCGGAAAAACAGTCCAATGGTGGCGTCGAGTCCTCCGCGCATTAGGATTTGAACCGTCCCATCCTCTCACTATCTTGTGCGACAACCAACAAACTGTTGACCTATTGACGAAGGAAGGTGCCGCAATGCATACGAAGCTTCGTCATGTTGATATCAATCGGTGCTGGATGAAGCAAGAGGTCAGCGAAGGCCGAGTTCTTGTCGCATGGATTCCAACCGCCGAGATGCCAGCCGATGGCCTCACCAAGGCCTTACCCAAACAGAAGCAGCAGATCTTTCGAGATCTGATCGGAATGAGAGACGTGAATCACCTGATTCACCCTTCAAAGCAGATTCTGGTTTGAAAACCATGCATAAATTGAAGAATTGAGCAGTTTCCCAGGCCTAGAAAAGGGGCCTCGAAAACTGGGGGGTGTGTCAGAAATATGGTGGATCTGCGTGTGGATTTCTGGGTATTTACCCAGAATATCTTACGACATCAAATCAGACACCTCACATAAAAGTGCATATTACTCTTTGTCAGCATATCCTACAAAATTGTCAAGTTCATAGTTTTTAGTTAGAGAGAGAGTTTAATATTACCGTTCGGAACCCATACAATGTTGGTCACTAATTTCTGTTATAAACCTTGATGACAATAATCTTCAAATTCTCCGAGAATCGGCCAGGTTTGATTCCACCACCGCTCCACGTGGCAAACAAAATAAGAAGTGGAGATAAGGGGGCGAATCCCGAGGCTTGAATTTGTCTTTCGCTTATCGCTAGATTAAAGAAGTCTTAATCAACCAGGGAAAGACACTTTTACTAGCGGAAGCTTTTATCAGCACTGGGGAAAGACACTTTCACTAGCGAATATATTCAGTCCGCCCCGCATCTCTTCAAATCCTTCATTAAATGATTCATTGTAGAATAAAGAGAAAATATATACAGTGGTGTAACAAAATTATTTGACCTCCGGTACTTCGGGATTTAACTTTTGACCTGACCGTTTCCCATACTGTCTACTGAATTAGGAAGTTAGATAGAACGCTAAAAGCTGCACAGGAAGAAGCATGGGAAGGCCTAGATACTGAAATATTTAAACATCTATTATAAGGCATGGCTTCACGGGGTAGCTGGTCTTATTAAGTATGAGGGGTGGCATACTAGCTATTTATTGATTTGAACTGATAAGTTTCTGCTAGGCAGTACTAGAAAGGTGGGTCTAATGCCGAAGTGCTCGAGGTCAAATACTTTTGTTACATCACTGTATATATAAAATAGCTGTACTTGGCCGGGGACGCGGAAGCTCGAGCAAATAAAGAAATACTCATGTCAGGCAGCCATTCAACAAATGAGGATAATCCCCAGAACACATTCCATATCCTTTGGTGAGGCTGGCATTCGTACAACTGAATCAAAGAGGGAAAATCAGCAATGAGACCTGGAAAGAGTGTTGATTCTGGTGGACGATCTATTGAAGGCCGACGGGTTGAAATACCCTCGAGAATAAGGTGTCTTGAAGGTTACCTGCCCGAGGTGGCAGAAGGTCGCAAAAAGGACGCGTAAACCAAAGAGACGGTATTGGATGACCACGGATCTCGGCTAGTCACAGTTGTACCTGACGAGTTAATACAATGCCTGTCTCCATTTTGCTGACAAGTTGTAACTTTCCACCTGCAGGAACTAACAAGTTATATGCATCCTGCGTGGCGCGATGTCAGAGATAAGGTTCATTTCCCGAATTAAATTAATTTCTCGATGCTTGATACGAACGAATACAGCTGATGGACTATGATTCGGCGATGAAGACCTAATTGTGCACTAATCATATTCCTGTTCGCATAATCTTTCCATTTTCCCGTCCCACTGCGGGCGCTTCGCTCTCACATTTCAATCGAAATGTCTGATATAGTTGATCCACACTATGGAGTACTAAGGAGAATTCTCTCCTGGTGGACCCTAGAATATCCCATCGCCCTCTTTACTTCAGGCTTGGGCCACAGTAGTTTGTCCGAGGTATCCCGGGCAGATACGTGTCCAATCATGGCGTATATATGGCCCTGTTCGAGCGTTAGGCGCATTAGCCCTGACCAACGACAGCTCAGGCTTGATATATCAGATTTTGTCTATACTAATTAATCAATATTTCTTTATTTCCATACACTTTCAAGCTGACCGCAACGCGTTATCCTCATGCTGCAACTGGCCTTCCCAGGCTCCGTCCTATTCCATGCAAGGGTGATATTCCCAATCACATTGCTTTCCCTGCCTTCAGACCCCCATCATCCATACGCGCTCACCTATGCAGGTCATGATTTCAGGGTTAGTGAATCTTGGCCTTTATTCTCACGCGTGCTGCCGTCTCGAAAAAGCCTTTCCCTGCTTTCTTTTCTTCATCGGCTTTTTTAATCGAATAAGGCATCCCCTGTCCATAGCTCCCTGGCCCCACTCCCCTTAAAGGAGCCTTCCTCTCCCCCGTGTGTGACGGAGTGGGTTTTACGCGGGATATCACGGCGTTGTCATCTCTCCTTGGACTGGTTTCCATTCACCCTGTCGTTGCTGGCATTCTTAGTTCAGGGCTGGTATCTCCTGTCCTCTATTTTCCTCTTCTTCTTTGGATCCATCCACAGTTTGACAACTTGATACTGGTGACAACTATTCTGTTCTTCTATACTATCATCGGTCTTGTCGACTGCTGGAATTATATACGAGTCTACTACCTCGGTGGACCTACACGGCTTGAGCCGGCATAGTCTCCAAGAACGATATGAATCAGACGAAGAGGTTGTGTCTGAGTCTGATACCGGAGCCCATGATCTACTTTCCTCGCCGATGGGCTCTCCGGTTGAATCCCAACGAGCTGTCATCTTCGATTCAGACCTGAGTGCCGACGATGCCCCTCACATGGACCCTGATTCGGACCGCGAAGAATATTTGCTGGCGCCACCGATAGTGAAACGGCCGCGCCCTGTGTTTACGAATACTATCAAGAGGACGAGCAACGCTGCCTGTGATGACGGCGCCTATGTGTTTGACCCGGAGGAGCAGGTAGTGCTTGAGCTACCATCACCGGACTCTCCTCCCCAACTGGCGTCCAGTATATTCTTGCAACCATCGGTATACGTCTCGCCGAAGCCCAAGCCAACCACCAGATCTCGATCTACTTCACCTTCCTCGATATTCTCAGTCGAGGAGGCAGACATCCAAGTTGCAAAGAAGGTCACTTTCATGGAACCCCAGACACGGCCTAGAGTGGTCCTGATCAACGCCCTGGGAAAAAGACCGAGCTCAAGATTCCGCTCAAACCATTCTCGCTCTCGGGAAAGCAGCCGTAGCCATCCTCCTCTCGCCAGAGCCGACAACAGGCTAGCACCGCCACGCTCCTCAGAGCACATCTCCAAACGACACTTCTACAGAGAGACAACTCCAAAGCCAGCACCACGAAAGCAATCACCAATCCCAGTCCCAGCCCCAAACGACTCCGATGAAAGAATAGCCCCCAACGCAACAATTAATCGCGTCTCTGAAGTCCCCATAGTCCTCCACTTCCCGACACCACCACGCAACATCCCAACAAACACCAAAACAAACGAATACCAATACACTCCCCGTCCCCGTACCGCAGGCGCAAACAGAACGATGCCACCACCGCTACACATCCGTTCCCCCAGACCAACAGAAACAGCCAGGCCAGCCTCAATCCGCAGCAACAGCAGCACCACCATCCCAACCTACACCTCCTGCCCTGCCTCCCCCTACCCAGACGACCAAAACCCAACCACCCACCCCCTCTCGCGAGTTAACAGCCCAACGTCAGTTATCTCGGTTCCCTACTCCCCTTCATCACAGTCGTTCTCCTCGAAACGAACACACGGTTCCTCATCGTCATCTTACAGCGTCTCTAATATCCTCGCACACCGCTCTCCGCTGATGATGCGCCGTATGACGGGGAAGCTTTCGTCGTCAAGTTTTCATTCTATGAGTTCGTTGCGCTCTGAAATTGATCCTGTTGGGCCTTCTTCTTCGCAGATTTCTGTTGCGACGCAGCCTGTTATGGGTATGGGATTGGTATCGGGTTTGATGGTTAATTCGAACTCGAACTCGAATGCGAATGCGAATGTTGTGCGCAAGTCTAGTCAGCGCAGACATGCAAGACATGCTAGTGTTCTTCCTAGTGCGCGTGGGTTTATGGGTTTGAAGCTTGGGAAGAGGTTGCATAACAAGACCTAATTTCCTTCCTTCTCTTTTCTTTATACCTTGACGGTTTTGATTCGGTCTTTCTTTTTATCTTTTGCCTTTTCTTTTGTTGACATATTGATCCGATAATGCTTTTATGGGCGATAATATCACCTTCTCGCGTGGAACGGGTTATCTCGGTTTGTTTGGTTTTCTTTTTTGGGCGTTTCTTGTTTGGGTCTTGATTAAATATTAGGCGCTTGTATGTTTTCTGCCTTCTTTTAACGGCTTATCTTGTTCCTTCTTTCTGGTCTTCTCTGACTTCCCACTTGGAAGTAATCTATCTCGAGTTGAATCATGGAATGGCTAATGTTTATATCTATTAAATGATAGGTTCTATTTGGGACTGTTGCGTGAGAGCCCCTTGCGTCGGGCCCACGATATCCCGTGCTGGACATCGCACACAAATATCGCCTGGCCTTCCCCTCCCTCGAAAAGAACATCGCCGTTTCGAGGGAGAGCCGGGCTCTCTCCGCGACGGTTTCTTCCCGCCCACCGCGGAACCCCCTCATGTATATACCACGTATGCTCCCGCATAGCTATTTTTCCTCCTAGAATATACGGAGTGCCACGGGCCCGCCTGCAGCCCTCACGGCGCTGTAGCCCTCCGTCAACGTGGCCTACATCGCCAGTGTTCAGACCGCAGGTGCCCCGTGCGGGCCAAAATATCTCATCCGTCTCCATTTGTGCCTGTGTAGCAATGGTTAGAATAGAATATAAAAAACACACTCTCAAGTACTCAATTGGCTATGCCCGTACTAGTCCTTACTGTAACGACCACGTTCTGACATATTCAAGTCCGACAACCTGCTACTGTAAAACCTCCAAGTCGAATACTAATACGGGGCTGGCCCTCTCCTTTGGAACTTGACAGTGGGAACTAGTCCGCAGACAACCCGCGAGATGGGTTCAACTTTTCGAAGTCTGATGTTTAATGGATTTAATATCATGAGAATAGGTGATATGGCAAGATCAGTTCGCTTGAGCATTCAAAGAGAGGCATAGCCGCGTAATAAGCCACAGGTCGTGAAGTCTACTCTGAGGAGTACACAGACCACTTAATCTCAAATTCGCCTTCCGTTGGTGCCAACACACACTGACGGGGGTGTATGTCAGGAGTGAGATG